CCCCCTCTTCCGCCCCCGTCCCCTCGTCGACCCCCCCATCTTCATTACCTTCTTCTGACGCTCCTTCCGGATCTCCTCTACCCCCCTCACTTCGCTACGGACATTGCCCCCCGGTCCAGATCGTCCTCCGCCCCTGCCACCGCTCCCTCCCCTGCCCCCGCCGCCCCCGCGGCCGCGACCTCTTCCGCTGTGACCGCCCCGCCCGCTCACTGCGCACGAAAGCAAAGGGTTTGATCCAATCACCATAACAATCACCGTAGAAGCGTGACGGAGTGCGATCAACGGCTTCATGATACAGGCTGACCACTTCCACAAGCCGTCATCTGTTAGTCCATCGAGAGTTGATTGAGCGCATGCACACGACTCCCGCTGTCTTCCTTCCGTGCAGAATCAACTTCCAGTTTCGAAACCCCCCAAATCCTTCTTCTGAAGCCCCATTTAGCGCCTCAAAACTAACGACGGGTCAATAAACTCCCTCGTAGTACACAATCCAGAGCGTTTCGAAAAACGTACATCAAAAACCCCAACTCCTCGTCTTCAAACCCCAACCACTTCAAAACCAGGACTCATATTTTCAGGCGTTCCTCAATGTGTTTCTCTGGCACACTTTCCTCATGTACGAATCATCAAGCAAGAAAATTCATTCTGCATCTACTTCAAAACCCCAAACCTCATTGGTGCAAACCCTCACCTGCGGGGCTATCCTCCCCCTCCTCCCCTGCCGTGGCCACCTTCATATGCGTGCGCGCCTGCCACTTCTTATACAGCCCCTTCTGCTGCCCCGCGTTCACGCGCGCGCCGCTCTCCGACTTCACCTTCCCGGAGCCCGTTAACACCTCCCCCGGTTGCAGCCGGATGTACTTCTTCTTCTTGCGGTCCCAGTGGTACGTCGCACGCTTCTTGGTGATTCCGGCCTCGTCGTCGGGAACTAGATCGAGGATCGCGGAGTCCATCGTGCCGTGGTCGAAGTCGGACGCGCCACGTGTGCCGCTGCCGCCGCTGACCGACAGCTGCTGCTCCGCAAACTGCGGCAAAGAAGTAACGGGTCAGAGACATCCTTGCGTGCACAATATCCACCGAAGAACGATCTTGACCTGACGCAAAGCTGCTCTTGACGTTGGTGCAAACCACGAGATGTTCGAACCAGAGGCGGAGTTCCGACCGTCTGGTGAAGACAGAGGCAGGCGTCCAAGAGTGAGCCTTTCCGTCAACCCCGTGGCCTGAATCAAGCAACGACTCGAGTGCACATTTCTGACAGCCTTACAAGTCAGTAACGATACACCGCATGCCGCAGATTGGGTCCCCGAAGTGCAAAGGCACCTTTTGGATGAAACAGCAGCAACACATAAGAACCTGAGAGACAGTCGTACAGAACTCCAGCAACCACGAAGCCGGATTGGATGATTTTTGCGCTCACTCGATTTGGCGGGATCGCATTGATGAAGAACTGATCGTCCTGGTAGCTCTTCGGCTTGCTTTTCTTCTTCGGCCGCCCCTCTTCCGCAACTCCTTTCTGCGCCCTCTTCCGCTTCTTCGCAGGTGCCGTCTCTGGCTCGGGGGCAGCCTCGGCAGCATCTTCCGGCTCCTGCGAAGGCCGACTGCGGTGTCAGATGCAAAGCAGATTGCAGACTCAGAAGCGTCATGCTTCCCGGTTAATGTCAGCCGCGGAGCAGCGGGAGCCATTGAGGGTCCCCTCGACAAGGCCGGCTTTGCGAACTACTGGAAGAGTGACGACTGCGGAAGAAACGGACCTTTACCGTCGGACGGCCAGATGAACTGGGACGAACAGTAATAAAATCTCGGACAATTTAAACTGAGACACTGATGAGTCTAAAAGAGCATTATGGACTTGCAAAAGGCCATCCACAGACACAACCATTTCTTTCGTACCTAACACCAACAAAAACAAATCCCCCTCCGCTTCTCACCTCCATGTCGTCATCCTCTCCCCCAAACGGCCGGTCCTCGTCCTTGTGCCGCGCCGCCTCGATGACGTGTTCGTGCGCGGCCCGCTTGGCGAGCATCGTCACCACGAGCGTCTCCTGCCGCTCGCCCTTGGCGGCCGCGCCCTCCGTCTCGAGAACCGTCTGCCGGGGACGGAACTTCTTCAGGTGCTCCGTGAACTCGGCGAGGGTCTGCTCGGCGGCGTCGACCTAGAAGAGGCGTGACGTTGATAAGTGAAGAAATGAATGATGATCAAACGAACGAAGGGATGAACGAACGAAGGAACGAACGAATGAATGGATGTTTGAATAAATGTTTGATTGAACGAAGACCGCGCTCCTCGTCCAAAATGCGCGCAGATTTCATGAGCGAGCTTCTTGGGAATCAGTTGAAAAGCAGTCCTTTTTGGCGTCCAACCTGGAAGTGGGCAAGAAAACGAACGTAGGAGGTGATACACGGCCGTCGGGAACTTCCTAAGTGGGACGATGATAAGAAAGAACGGGCAAAAACCTTTTCCGGCGTAAAGCTCTGCAGTGAACAAAATAGACTCCTTTTGAACGTTAGAAGCCCAAAACCCTTTAAAATCCCCAGTCCCTAGAACCGTAAAACCGTGAATGAATGCCGGGACGCCACTGAAGGAATTACGTCTTGAAGGCGCACAGGAAACGTAGGATTGCTTCTGTGGGCATAACTTACTTTGGTCCGGAGCAGAGGGTGCGTCCCCTCTTTCGGCAGCTGCTTCGCTCGTGCCACCGACTCGATCGATGGCGCAGGCCGCGTCTTCACATACAATCGATACGCGTTCGCGCACACCTAGACAACAAAACCGAGGACACTTCAGTCTTGAGAGAAAGGAGAACCGAGTATCATAATTGTGCGGACGAGCACACAGATTCGACAACACAAGAGGCGCGGCGAAGCAGTGACCACTTTTGAACCACTTCTCACCACCTTGTCGAATTCCTTTCGACATTGCTAAAAGAACCAGTGCCCCCGTTAAAGAGGGCGTCTAACCACGTATTTAAGCAGCGTCCTTTCGTAGGATAGTTTGCTCTCGTGTCGCCTAGAGTCCAATCACGTGGTGCCGGACTCCGCGATTCAGAGTGCGGGCATACGGAGTATCTGGTCGCCAAGGTGTTACGGGTCACAGATTCCCCGGTTAAGGTCACCCCAGCTGCGTTAAACTCACCTTGACCAGGTTATCCAAGTCGTGGTGCGTGCTGCTAAGATCGCGGATCCTCTCCATTGCCGGATCCAGGATCGACTGCGGGAAGCGCCCGTAGACCGTAACGTCCCCGCTGTCATTCTTGTCGGTCCCCGCGCCTCGGAGCGCCTCTTCGGTGGGGGCGGGGAACACCGGCCGCGACAGGAACAGATGCAGGTCGAGCATGAACGGGATCTGCGGCAGGGGGGGAAGATGACGTCAGGCATGGAAGGACGAGTGTAGATGCCGTGACGTCAGCGGTGCTGAGGCGCGGAGGTTAGAGTCATTGGGATGTCCCGCAAACACTCTGACCGCGCTTGTCAGTGCACTTTGGAAGCCGCCATGCAAAAAGTTAAACCCGACAGTATCGCCGAACAGCTTGTTCCGAAAACATGACTTCGACGCCTTCCTCAGGTGAAGGGCCAAACAACGGCCCAGCCCCTTTGATTGTAGATGGTCCAGCACATCAACGGTGGGAAGCCAGGCGTACCTCTTCAGGGGTGACAAAAGAGAAGGCTGTTCCCGTCCGTCCAGCGCGAGCGGCACGCCCCACGCGGTGAACGAACAGCTTCGGCTTGGGGGGGAAGTCTGCAGCGAAATAAGGACCACTGATCAGACGGCAAGCGCAGCTCGAGCCAAGTTTCGTTTTAAGACATGTTACAGTGACTTTCGAATATAACATGCAACGCGGGTCGATCTTTGAGCGAATTGTTCTTTGCTATGCAAACAGATTGTCATCGACAGCACTTCGGTCCTTGACTTCACTTTGTTCGAAGTTGCAAAACCAAAACAAACCTCACCATAATTGACGACGTTGTCAAGGAGCGGGATGTCGATTCCGCGCGCGGCCACGTCCGTGACGATGAGCAGGCGCGTTTTCTGCGCGCGGAACTTGCCGATGTGGATCTTGCGCGCCGTCTGATCCATGGTGCCGTATACCACGGACGGGGTGACGCCAGAGTGCGTCAGCAGCTCGTTCAGGAACTCCACGTGGTGCCGCGTGGCCGTGAAGATGATCTGAGGAGCCAAAAAGCAGCTGTTAGAAGCGTTTCCTGTTTCAAAGATTATTGATAAGATGTGCTAGAAAACCCTAGAAAGCAGAACTTGCGCATCCGGATAAGCGAAGCCGGTTGCGATCCGCTCGGCTGTGTCAAAAGCGTGTTTGCCTTGACGGGCTGATCAAAATGGAAGATCGCTTGAGCAGCCAGTCGGCACAAATGATTGAGATAGCCAAGGGGCCGACGTCAGCAGTACAGAGGTCAAGAGGGGATCGAAAGGAGAGGGGCACAATCTGCGCAGTATTCAAAGCCGATAACGAGACGGACTATAGGCGCATCAAACAGAGCCCTTCACCCCGGGTCCCGAAAGCCTTGAAAGCCCTCCATCCTTTTCCTCACTCCTTCACGATCGCACACGAGCAAAAGACTTCTCAAAAGAAAAGTTGAACCCTCTTTCCATGATGCTTTCCAATCGCTTGAAAGCGAGAGACTCATACACAAAAAGTCCACCCTCTCACCGTCTGCTGATCGGCGGGGATGACCTCGTTCAGCGGTTGCAGCAGCGCCGCAAGCTTTCCTCATCGTTAATTTTCGTTTAGGATGTCAGACTTGACCCAGAAACTGACCTTCCTGTTCATAAAGTCAACGTCACTTCGACCGTCTGCTGGTCTGCACAATGACCTCGACTCTCGTCTTGCAATTTAAGCACAAACCCAAAAGAACGAAGCTCCCACCCCCTCACCGTCTGCTGGTCGCGGGGATGACCTCGTGCTGCACCTTCTCCTCATCGTTTATCTCTGATTTGGAACTTTGGTCTTAATGCAAAAACCTACTCTGTCACTGGCTTTACTTTCCACTAGATTTGACTCCCCCTCACCGTCTGCTGGTCTGCAGGGATGACCTCATGCAGCAGGTGCAGCAGCGCGGCCGGCTTCTCCTCGGCGCGCATCGTGAAGAACTGCACGCGCAGGTCCTTGCTCACGCGCGCGTCCGCGTCCAGGCGCACCAGCTGCGGATCGCGCAGGCCCGCACGCGCAAACTCGGCCAGCAGCTTCGGCAGCGTCGCACTGAACAGCAGCGTCTGGCAAGAGAAGGGGAGGATTATTAAAAAGATCTGACGGAAAGTGGAATCTGTTAGCAGAGTATACAGATGGCGGAGCCCCCTGTGCGCAAACTCGGCCGGCAGCTCACGGTGATATCGCGCAGACAGCAGCGTATGCCAAATGAAAAGACAACAAGCAACTTTCAGTAAGGGAGCAGACTTGAGCGCTTCTACAGTTGCATCCACCAAAAAGCCTGGAAAGTTGATCCCAGAACAAAGAACTTTACAGGCTTCCGACGGTATTAATTACCCGTGCGACATTGCCGCAATCAAATCCAAAGAAACTGGCCAATTCACAACCGATGCAGACCCTTATTAGAGCATGTTAGACCGAAGATGCACAACCCTGTCCTGCTTCACTTGTCCTGCTTCATCCATCCCGCTGACCCTGCCCTCCCACTTTCACTCCGCTTGACTAGTGCTCCTTAACCATCATGCTTAACCAATACCGTCCCTCACCTGCCGCGTGTCCGCCAGGTGCTGCAAAATGCTCCGCAGCTGATCCGCAAACCCCATTTCGAACAGGCGGTCCGCCTCGTCAAACACGACGTACTCCACACTTCGTAGCGACATGCCCTCCACTTCGGACAAGTGGTGCATCAGCCGGCCTGGGGTGGCAACTAGAACGTCGGGGTTTTGAGCGAGCGCTCCGAACTGTTCTTCCATGCTGTCACCGCCGACCAAGACCGCGGCACGCAAGTCGGTGTAGCGCCCGAGCTCCTTGCAGAACTGGTGGTTGAAACAGAGGGGAAAATGGCGAGGTTTTGGATTTGAGAAGTAGAAGTTGAGGCTCCAGCTCTGCTTCTGCAACACCTTTCCCTTCCCAACCGTACCGATCAAAGCGCACCCACTTAACGATGAACTGATGTCAAAAGCGCAGAATCCAACGACATTGAAAAGGAACGCGAGCACTTGTCAGGGACGCCCAAGCTTAGCGCGGAGAAGCGGGCTAAGGTTCTATCAAAGACAAGTTGCAAGATGAGATGAGGCGTAGGTGACTGTGACAAATGGGCCATGCAGCTGTGGAGTCGCTGGTATTGGATCCATCTCGCTGCCTCTCTTTCTGAAAGAAAACCTCTCTGTGCATTCAAACCCACTGCCCAACAGACTCCTCTCCCACATCAAAGCTTGTGCATCCTTCTTTCCAACACCGTAAGCACAGCCATCAAATTTCCTGGATACCATGAGCGGCCACATTCCCCGAAACACTCATTTGATGTCATGTAACGTGCCCATTGTCCATTGCACACAGCAAAAGCTTCCCTCACCTTGAAAGTTTGCAGGGCCAGTTCTCTGGTGGGGGACAGGATGACCGCTCGCGCCCCCGCCCGCGAAGTATGCTGCTTGAGGCGCTCCAGCATGGGTATTAGGAAGGCTGCAAAATACACTGGGGCTTCAAAGTCCTGTCCCAGATTCGGAAGGACTCCCACAAACAGGCTTGCCTCCTACCAGCCTGTGTTTCTGTTGATTTATCGGCGCTCAATGTCTTCTGACAGAGCCACGAAGCGGAACGATTCCACATCTTGGTGGTGCTATGTTAGCATGCGGCGATGATGAGCATCTGTTGGGGCCGAGATTGACGTAGCGTGAATCTCTTTGTGCGGCCACTTCTGGAAAGAAGATTGCATCAGTAAGATCGTCCACCTTTCCCCAAAGGACGCAGCACCCAAATGTCTAAATAACGACTAGGTGACCTCAAAAGCTGGCATCAGACTCCAAATGCCCCAGAGCGCTCAGCCTAACCCCGGAACCTAAGATGTCAGTGACCGTTTATCTGGTCTCAAGCATGACATCAAGTTCTACTCCTGGGCTCACCTGCGGTCTTTCCCGAGCCCGTTCGCGCCATCGCCACGACATCATGCCCCGCGAGGATGAGGGGCAACGTCTTCCTCTGCAATTGGGCGCCGAGCAATTATGATTACATTAACAGTCTTTCACTGTTTATCTCTATCATTTGCTTGTCATAAACCATGGTTCTTATTGGTCGTCTTTTGAATATTCATTGCTCTCTGGTCTTGACAATTGAAGCGCCACACTAAATGACGCGTTGGCTCCCAGCATTTAACAACCCAACTGCCAAGAACCACAGAGGTCTTTGTCTTGAAAGGTGCCCTTGAATGTTGAGCTGGAGATCAAGAGAGCAACGATGAACCAGACTGCCTACAATTGAGCTTGAGCATGAGTATGAATGCCGCCCCACCTGGATGGGCGTTGGCACCCGGTAGCCCTTCCGTTTTACACCCTTGAAGACCGGCAGGCTGTGAAAGAAAGAGCGGTGCGTCAGTCTCTTGAAAGAAAGGAGAACACTTTAGAACATGCTGCACCCCTCCCCTCACAGCTGTTTGATTGAGTGTGTCCATCTTGTTCAACGTAAGGGCCAAACACTGATGTCCAATCAGAACTTGCAAAGCAAAGGGATTCTCACAGAGCTTTCTAACAAAACAAGCTCAGTTCTGCAGTCACTGCACCACCCTCCCATCACATTCCATCGCACCTGCCCTGACTTTCAAGAGCTAGACCCACCTCAGGCCCAGCGATTCGAAGCCCCCCGACTTGGCCTTCTTCTTGTTCAGCTTCCTCTGACGCGCCGACACTGGGTCTTCATCATCTCCTTCGAACTCCAGCACACCCGCCATAGGAAATGCCGCCCCTCCCCGGCCAGGCGTGGCCTCCCCTTCGGAGTCCTCTCCCTCGCTAGCTTCTGGCTGCTCGTCCCAGTCATCGTCTTTCATGGTGGAAACTCGCGCCTTCTTGGCGGCTCGCCTTTTCTGCGCCATCATGCAGTGCGTTTTGAAGTCCTTGTGCAAGGGCCAAGCTTTGCTTGGGGGTTCCTCAGGCTCACCTGACCTGTGAATGCTCTGAGCTGCAGCCATTACCGCTCACCGCAAAACTACCATTACCACGCGGTTGTGACAAACCCTAATTCTGCTGGAACCAGATAAATGATGGGGGCCCAAACAGGGCCAAAAGGGGCTGATCCATACTCTGTGAAGTCGCTTCTTTTGGCGCCATGGCGGCGAATTGTAGTGCTCCCAAGAAGAAAGGTCGCTGTAGTACGAACAGGCAGTAGCTACCAGCCTTGGTCAAGACCAATCTAGGGTCCACCACCGCTTATCAAAAGTTTTCACTAGTGTTTCTCCATACAGAACACAGAAAATGGCGGCTTCACAGCTGCTTGACTGCCTGGGAGATCTGGCCCAGGCCTCTGGCGGCCAAGTAGCGAGTCTCCGTGCCACCGTGGGTGCGGTCATCAATGCCACCCTGGCGATCAGCCGCACCCCCCCTGAAAAGTTGCTGGACGATCTGCTGAGAGAGTTTCTGAAAAGGGGGGGTGGTGCAGAAGGGGCAGAGACAATTAAGGACCAGGAGGTTGGGGAAGGGAGTGTCTCTGGTGTGAGCGCCTTCATTGTCGCTGCGATGCTACTCCTGGAGAAAGAAGGTGAGGCAGAGAACTTCCACGTCATCTTCAGGAGCAACGCACCTGATTGGAGTATTTGTGCAATTGCCCACATTCAAGTTGTCGATTTCCGTCTGTATTCCCATCCGGAAAGTCAGCACGCCCTGGTGGTGGTGGATTAGTGCTTTGCAGAAAGCCCTTAATAGCACCACCCTTTGATACATCAAAGTGCATCACTTCAATCAATTGGTCCCCTGTCCTTCCACCAGTGCCCACCAATTAGTTGTTGAGGCAATGAGAGATCAGAACCATTTGTGGAAGCAGACTTCTGAAGCTACTTCAGCAAGGCTCGTCATGTCCAAGTTGATGAACCTTTTGGACTCTGGAAAGTTGTGATGATCAGTGAAGCATGCAGTACACCATACCCTTTCTTCTGAGACCTATTGTCAACCACTCTGATTTTTCTTAGGCTGCAGTATGCAATCTAGATCTGGGTATGTACAAGGACTAAAGAGCCCACCTGTCAGCTGGAGTGCCCGTGATTTGTTGCTTTGCATAGAGTTGCGAAAGTGAGCCCATCACTTTTGTCACATATCCATCAACAACCTCCGCGTGGCTTGATTGTTGTCCCAGGAAAATCTTCCTCCCTCATATCAGCTTTTTCTTGTTGTTAGTCAATATCGCATCCCAGGTTGCTCATCACCCATGCTCCTTACAGGCACCACCAACGATCAGCTCCACCGCCTCATCACCACTGTCTGCCTGCCCGCTTTGAGCCCCCGGGAGAAGCTTCCAGTCGCCACCCAAGCCGAGATTGCCTCTTCTTTAGGAGCCCTGATCTCTGCCCGGGGCGCCTGGGAACTGGCCGGGGGATCCCTCATCCCAGCTTGCAAAGCCGCACTTACTGAGGCGCCCTCCGCAGCCAATGTTACTCAAAGTGAGCTGTTCAAGGCAGAAAAGGCTGATGGGGGGCCAGGACATCGTGCTGACTTCAGCGACGGGCTGGCGCCGCTCGCTGCTTGCCACCTGGCGTCCAATCTCGTCCAAGCAGCTCTACGAACGTTCAAATCGCCAGAACATAGCAACGGACCGTCAAAAGCACACGATGGTGGTTTTAGTCTTGGATCCAAGGAGGAAAGCAAGTCAGCGGGCGCTTTCTTGGCGGAAAGTGTCTCTGCAATGCTGCCAGTGGCGTTTGCTATGCTGACCGACGGTGACAGTCCGATGCGGAGGCGACAAGCGGTCAGCATACTGCTGCCTTCCCTCCTCGAAGCATCGCTACAAATCAAGGACCAAGAATCAGACACGTCAGCACTTGGGGCAAAGCTGTGGGCATGTTGTGAGAAACTGTTGGAGGGGGAGAGGGGCGAGAAAGCGGATGGCTTTTCCGTCATTGCGTGCTTCAAGGCGCATCTCCTACCGCCACGAGGGGCGAAAGGGGCAGCTTCCGGTGCGGTGATCGATGTGCGGGGGCAGCCGACGTTTTGGGAAGCGATCAAGAACGGCCTCGTACGTGTGTCCTCAACTTTTCCTCTTGCTTTTGGCTTTCAACATTTCCTTTGCTTTCTGTGCCTTTCCGCCTTTCAAAAAGTGAATATATCTTGTTTTTCGTTCAACACTACTCATTGCTTGGTTGCCTGTGCTTCCCCGACCGACGGAATGATCGAGTCACACCGCATGTGATTCGAAGCTGGTTCAAATTGCATGCCAATGTGCGAATTCATCTTTCAAGCGTGGAGTCGGTTGAAAGTTGCAGCTCAGTCATAGACAAGCCTTGTGGTAGCCAATGCGACCTCCTCCAGTTAAAGTGTCCAAGTGAACCACCCACTCCTTTGACGAGATATTACTTACCGATTGTCGATTGGATGAACCAGAACCAGATTTCAAATGCAACACAAGGGATTTTGATCACTACAGTCGCTCAAAGTTCAGAGTATATTTCGTGTGAGTGCCTGCGGATTGAGAACCCGTTCGTCGCTTGTCATGCCTTGCTAGAGAACCTGATGCACTTGTCTTGGTAGGTGTGAATCAGTTATAAGGAGCTATTTCTATTTGCAAAAACCTGACATGTCGTTTGTTCCTCGTCGCAGCTCGACGAAGACAGCCTCATCCGCCGGCAGGCCCTGCAAGTCCTCCGACTCGCCCTGCCCACCCCTTCCGACGGCGCAACGTCCGCCGAAACAGGGCCCTGGGTCGAGAGGGGCGCCGATGGCCCGGCCAGCACCAGCGCTCGAGGCCCTATTCAGAAGAAGGGCGAAAAAGGAGGGGGATCCCTCAACAAGGGAGGGGGATCCCGCAGCAAGAACGAGGTTCGCAAGGAGTGGAAGGAGTTTTATCACTCGCGGAAGCGGGATGGGTACGCGGAGAAAGAGATGGCGTCGATGATGGAAAACAAGGGGGACAACGGGGAAGGCGACGCGGCGCGGTGGGACGCGTTTCTGCTGCTGTACGAGAACCTGGACGACTATACGCTGCACCTGTTTGAGGCCACGTGGCCGGCCCAGGTGCGCCGTCGTTCTGCTTTCTGATCGCGTTTATATCGGATGTCAACACTCACGCAGTTGTTCGCGTCGGGTGCCGTCATCGACGTCAGCGTAGTATGGACAGACGGAAGCCTTCGGCCAACTCTTGTTTGGATTTTCAACTTAGCGAACTGCGATGCCTGGACGGAGACTTGTAGACGTTTAGATCTGGATTCCAGTTCACAGCTCTTTGCATCAAATCTGCCATCGGGTTCGGATGCTCTTATGGTTCCCGGTCTTGACCCGTTCGATCGACGACAAGGAAGGCAGTAAGATCAGGAACGAGACTCAAAAACTCTCTAAACCAATGGCAAATTTGACGCAAATAGCTGTTTGGAAATAGCTTTGCGACATCCGTCTTTTATCGAATACCTAAGTTTCTTGCCGAAACAGATGACACCTCCAACTCTCTTGCAGATGGAGGTCCTCCACTCCGGCGACCATCTGCCTCAGCCCTCGGCCTCTGGGTCGCCCCCCGGCCCCGACTTCTCGTGGGTGTCCCTTTTGTGGCAGCGCGGCTTCCAGCACCGCAACCCGCAGGTGCGCCAGGCCGTGCTGACGTCATTCTTCGACCGCCAATGGGACGGCGACACGTGGCTTTCCCAGATACCGCAGCAATTCGTCCTTGGGCCCCTCTGGAAGGCGCTCGACGACCCGGTCCAACACCCGGCTTTTGGTGAGTCCTCGAAGACTGGTCGGCTATACAATTACTCAAAGCCTGCGATCCGCTCCAAGAACTGCTCTTTGCAACACTCTCTCGCGGGCCTAAGATTCAATATGCAATCTACTACTTTGCAGTGCCTCCTCGGACGCTGGAGAAATGTCAAACAATGATAAACCTTCAGGATTGTGCCAAAGTCAAATAGCGTTGTTTCTCAGACCGGAGTTTGGTCGCCCACCTGATTGGATTCTATCTCATCTGGATTAGTACAAGTTACAAGGATATTTAAAACTCGAACGGGCGGTGTATGTGCATTGACTTGTCGCTTTCCTGTGGCTCCATGCAGGCTCGAGAGGCGTCTGGGCTTCCCCCATTACCCTCCGCGCCTCCGACTTCTTCCTCTCATTCGTCTCCGCTCTTCCCGCCCCTCATCGGCTGCCTTTTCTCTGCGAGCTGACACGTGTCAGCCTCGCGGGCGTCGTTTCCCGCCCGGGCCTCCTAACCCTCGCCTCGTGCCTTGTGGCCGCTTCGGAACCTCTAGCCGTTTCCAATCCCAAACGCTCCTCCTCCGCCCCGGAAAACCCGCTTGTCGTTCCGGCGGACGCACCGGAGCAATTGCAAACGGAAGAGGCGCTTGATCGGTTGCGGGCGGTGGTTCAGGAAAGCCGCCGGTTCCACAACCCGGGGTTCCGGCTCGCTGTGTGCGGAAAGGCGCTCGAAGCCGCGGCCGGCGCCGCTAAACCCCCGGGGTTTACGATCAGTGCGCTGGCGAAGCTGCTGGCCGCGTTTCCGGACGACTTGCTCAGTCCAAAAGGTAAGGACGCCTTCCGAAAGAGATACGAGATCGGAGGGCTATCGAACGACCTTACCTGATACAGTTTGTTCGGACGCTTATTATGCAATCTTTTCTCCTTCCTTCTTTCTTGGCCGTCCGATTTGGTGATCACTCGGTCTCTGGGAAGTTTCCTTCTTCTGTGTAGGTGGCGCGTGGACAGAATGCGTTTGATTGAGGAACGCTTCCGGAGCAACTGGTTTGCAATAGAGTTATCTCTTCTGCCGTTGTCGTCAGTAACTCACTCTGCTGAGATCCTCCCTCTTCCGCGAACTTTGAGAGCTCGCTTCTACCCCGACAATGGGATCATTAGTTGCTCCGAGATGCCACTTGGGTAATCTTGGAAGCAAGAGTCTGGATCCTTACCGCGTGTAGAGACCTGCGCCGTGCCTGGTTTTACTTCATCTGTTTTGCAACCCCAGAAATTTCAAAAACCCTGAAGCTTCAAACGGTAAAACCCTTTCTCTTCTACATTCAGGTGCTTTGCGCGACGACTTTGTGACGTGGGTAGCCCCAGCTCTCCCCCCTTCCGGCGCCGCCGCTGAGCGCTTCTCCTCGTGGCTCTCCCCGGGCCTTGCATTAGCACTGGAGGCTTTTTTCCAACCCACCAGCGGGGCGGCTCTGCCGAGCAACAAGGCCTCGCTGATGCCTGCCGTGCAAGACGAAGGATCGACAGGTATTGCAAACCTGAAGAACTTGATGTAGCATCCACCTGCGGTAGTTGTACGAACTGTCCTTCATGCGTTCGACGCTGCTGATTCGCTGGCTGCTGCTACCGCTGATAAAACGCCGCTGTTGCGATCGTCAAACAGCCAAGGCGTGCCCTACTAGCATCTCAGCAGCACTGTTCTTGCGACGCAATCGTTTGGTGCTGGTTTTCAGGGTGGAATGGGTGTATTGAAGACCTGCAAAAGGATGACTTCTGACCGTCGATGGGATAAAAGGCCTTAACGGCGACGAAGGTCTTTCAAAGCAACGGGGCTGCTTCCATTTGACACATTTGGTCGGTGTCATGTCGTCGGGCGGGGCTTTTGCGCTCGTGATCCTGTGATAACGTCCCTCAAATCAGTATCACTGTTTGACACGTGGCAGTTGGCGGCGCGGGGTCTGCCAACGAGACACGTGGCTGGGAGCAGGAGGCGCAGCAGTGGGCCGCTTTTCTGGCGCTCGAGCTGCTGCCGTCAGGTGACGTGGCAGCGCTGCTGGAGGTGAAGACCCTTTACTGCGCGGGCACCGGCAGAATTTGTGTGTACATGCAAGTGTTGGACGTTGTTGTTCTGCGAGATCCTAAATCATTACTTAAAAAGTCGGAACGAAACCGAGCTCTGAACATCAAAAGGTGGATCTGTCAGTCGTGCTTAACCGCTGGAGTGGTCTGTTGGCGTTTAACCACTTTTTGTTGCCACCAAGTATTGAAACGTAGGGACAGTACTGACGGAAGCCGCAGTATCATACTTGGAAAGGGTGACGCAGGGAACGAGTGTCTGCGACGCGGAATGGTTCTCACGCCGTTTGCGTAAGGGGCTGCAGTTTTTTTGCCGAGAGGTGAATTTGCCTTCTGTAGCAGCAAACAGGAAGCGAATCTGACCTGGCGGGACGTAACCGACCCATCCTGAGCTATCTCGTTACTGACTCCTAAGGATCCGCTTCTTGAACCAAAAAAGCGATCGTGTTCAGGTATGCGTAACGTGACGCTTCATTTGCTATATCTCAAACCTTCCAATTTTCTGCTTGACAGATCCTCGAACACCGTGCTCTTGATATCTACCGCCGCCCCTACCTCCCCCCAGGCCAAGCCGAAAAGACTTTCCTCGTCCTTCGTTCTCTCGCTGCCACGTGCCCTCCGGACGCCCCGCCACGTGGCTCCCCAAAAGCTCAACACCCTCCTCCTTCGTCGAACGGCCCCCACTCCAACGGAGCCTCTCCACGTGGGACCACGCTGGCCTGCCACGTGGCTAATGTCCTCGGCGCGTGCATGGACGAGCTGACGGCATATGCCGGCAAAGCGTCGGCCGTTCTGTGGGAGGGGGCGGGAATGCTAGCGGGTATTCCGGGAGCCCCAACGACCAACTCTGGAGTGGGACCGCTAGGGAGGGGTACCCTCGTTTTCGGCGGGGGGCCTCGGGCGCTCACTGGAAACGCTGCAACAACGGTCACTCGTGCGGTGAGCAATCTCGACAATCTGAGGCCGTCGGATCCCGCAACGACGCCCTCAAAGTGCAGCGTACGTCGACGGGCTAAGATTCTCTTGCGACTTTGCGCACGAGTTTGACAGCGCAACTCGGGAACGTTCTTGTCGGCTTCGGTCGTGCTTCATTAAGGGGCGTGAGGGGTCCAACTGCTGCAGTGCCGAAGTGCCGTTGTGTTTGCATCATTAGCACACCTTGCATCTTTAGGAAAAGCGTAGGAGGATAAGGAAGAATGTCAGATTTGAGAAAATGGGGAAGAAGGTGCCTTCTAATTTGCTTTACTCACACCCGCTTCCGCGCTTGCAGGTCTTGTCGGTCACTTGCGTCTCCGAGTGCTGCATCTGGCTCCAACAGCAAAACCCGTCCCCCCACCCCGAATCCGCCACCAACTTCCTCCTCGCGTTTTTGTGGCACTTCGTCGCCTTTCTGAGAGCCCACCAAGCGCTCCCCGCTACCGCCGCTGAAGCAGAACTTTGGGCCGCGATCTTGGAAGCCCTCAGCGCCGTCTGCCGGGCGGCCGCGGCAGTTAGCGCGGCCGAGGCGCGCAGCAAGGTGGGCGTCATGACAAGTCTTGCTGTCTAGGTAACAGGAATCTTTGTCTTGTTTTTGATTTTGTGTGCCACGATTCTCGTGTTGCGGCCGAGGCGCGCACCAAGGTGGGCGCCTTGCTGGTACCTTGAATGGTACCAGTTTTTTATCCTTGCTGTCGTTGTAGCCATTTTTGTACTTCTCTGCATTTCATCTTTTCTGCTTGGATTATGGATTCATTGCGGCAGAGGGGCGGAGTAAGGGGCCGTCAAAGTCGGTCCTTATTTTCAATTCTTGTTTTTTTCTCGTTTTCGGTCTTGTGTTCTTTGCACCTCTTCTTCGGTTGTGTAATTGGGTGTTTCCAGCGTAACGGAGGAAGCGATAAAAGGTGGGCGTCAAAATTGGTCCCAGTCCTTTTTACTGGCTGACTACCTCCCGTTTCCGTCTCTATTTGCTAGTCGTATTCTGCGTATTCGAAATTTTCATACTTGGTTGCACTGCCTTTTGCTTAATTCGTAGTGACGTCGCTGCAGGGCCGCGCTGCGCTGGTGGTGGTCACGGAGGAGCACTACGAGCAGCCGGTGGAGGGCTTCACCCGGGCGCTGGCCGTGGTGGCCGATGACGTGGCGGATGACGTCAGCAGGGCGGCCGCCAACGTGCTCGAGTTCCCCTCGCTGCCCAGGTGCGCTCGCTGACGTGGCGGTCGGGCCGGCTCTTTCGGCGACAATGGCAGCGGAATGATTCATTGTTCGTATCTCGAAATACGTTACTGCTATCCCTCCGCAGACCTGCGCGGAGAAAAGCAAAGCAATTCCAATCTTCATATCTATCCACTAGGCTTCCCAAATCGGTCCGCCGCATCAAGAGCTTCGCTCACCTGCGCTGTCAACATCCTTTCAATCCGGCTGCCAGATTAGAATAGAAAGAGATTACTGATATTCAAAAGATGAGCCATGTGCAATGTCACGCAGGAAAGCAACCTCAAGCGCTACGCAACTTGCAGAGAGTCTCTTCGTGATTCCTCCTTGGCTCTCCTTCAGCCTTCTATCTGTATGAGGTCCCCCTGAAACTCCCGACGAAAACCCTCCGACTAACTGAGACTTCACTATCAGGGGCATGCGTGGCACCGTCTCCGAGCACAAATGGCTCTGCCTCGACGCGCTCCTCGCCACCTGCGCCGCCCAGCCCCCCCCTCCCCCGTCTGCCAAACCCTCCCCCCCGAAAGCGAGTCGTCCGTCCTCCCCCCCCAAAAGCGCCCGCCCGTCGTCCCCCCCGAAGGAACCTCGTCCGTTCTTGACCGAGGGACAGCTTTTGGACGTCCTAGACGACATTTCGGACGGGCTGGAAAGCGCCGCAGAAACGTACCTGACGCCCATGCTGCGGTGCACGCGGTTCCTGATCGAGATGGGGATGCTCCGAGTGGCGGCGCAGCGGAAAGGGCTCTCGGAGACGGAGGTCAGAGGCAAACGCCTTTTCAGAACCTTTTACAGAATCCGACGAACTCAGGGTCTGGGCTTCTAGTCGCTCAGCTGTGCTTTTGGTCGGTTGCGCTCAGCATGAGCGTTTTTACACCCTTCCTGGACTGGACACATCCTAGTCGCTTGTTCTAGCTCCTTACCATTTTGCGTGCTTGGGCGAGTTGTTCCCTGACTATTGTACAGATCTTTTTGACGACTGGCCTTCCATCATTCTGTCAGCGGCAGCCTGTACTCACTTCCGGCGGTGAAAACGCGTTTGTACGGGACGTTTCGCAATCAAGAGCCTTCGCAAACAACAAGAGCTCCTGATGATAAGTCAATAGAAACAACGTCGATCTGCTTATCGGTCGAACCCCTTCCCGGCTTCCGTTCCCGCAGGTTCTGCAGCCCCTCGTGGAGTCCGCGTGGGCCGCCACCGCCGACCTGCGTAAGCGCCGCGTCAGCGTGACGTCATCCGTGCTTGCCACGTTTCTCCACCCGTCCCTGTTCTCCCGGCCCGAGATGCACGGCTCGGGGGAAGACCCCGGGCCCCTCCGGTGGCTTTTGACGCAGATGCTGCAGCTCGGGCAGAAGTCACCGAGGACTATCCGATTGGCGGCTTTGCAGGTAGGTGCGACTCTGAAGTGCTGAAAGCCATAATGTGGAAAACTTTCGTCTTGAATCTTTGGCGCTTTAAGTACTTGTTATTGTGAAGTGCTTCAAGAAGCGACGGGGTCGAAAGAGCTTTGGTTACAGCCTCACTGGCGAACTACGTTCTGAGCATTCTTGATATGTCCATCCTGTTCAATATTCTGGACGCAGTTGACATAGGAAAGTGCGGTTGTTTGTATGAACTTCTTACGATGGGGATGGTGCGATCAACAAAGTCTGCATGGTATATCTTTGTGGGGACGGTGTTCTGTAAACAACAAATCATGCGTGAACCTGTTCACGTTGGGGGCTGTGTGCCTTTTATCAACAAGGTGGAAAGAAGTGGTGACGCATACCTGAGGTGCGATTAAGCGCTCCGCCTGCAGCAAGCGCCGCCGCCTGGCGCTGCGCGTTCATTGTTGCCTCAACATTCTGCTCATGCCGCGCCCCGAAAGTGATGGCCGCTTTCGAGTCCGGTTAAGAGCAACTCGGGTCCGTCATAAAGAAAACCAAGCGGAGGCTCATGCGGCATCCGGACGGCACCCTCCTGTACTTGTCCGAAGCCGTCTGACCGTCTGGGTCACAGAATCCACGGCAAACCATTGGTTTTGACGCGGTCAAGCACAACCCGCCATTAACCTTTCCAGATTTGCGAGATTTGCCTGCGCACCCGGACACGGCCCTGCTGTACGAGCACGAACAGTCCGCTGTTCTGTGGGGTTCCGACGAGGTTAAGTCCTAACCCGCCGTCCTTCTGTTTCAGGTTTGCGAGCTGTGGCTGCGACTTTCGGACGTCGCCCTGCTGTATGTGTCCGGAGCCGTCCGCATGACTCTGCACGGTTCGGACGCCGTCGATGCTAAGCTAGCTGGACAAAGCTGGACTAATTATGATGAGGTTAACACTAAGCCGCCATCGTTTATTTCCAGGTCTGCGAGCTGTGGCTGCGGCATCCGGACATCGCCCGTTTGTACGTGTCCGAAGCTGTCCGCATGGCGCTGCACGGTTCGGACGCCGTGGACGAAGAGCTGGACGAGATGCTGTCGGAGGGGCAGCCTGCCGGCGGCAACTACGCGGCGCTGCTGCAGAGCAGGGACCCCGAACTTACAGAGGTGCGCGCGCGTTCTGTTCCGTACTTTTTAACAGACCAATCTCTGAATTCTGAGAGGTGTTTATAAGTACCACAGTTGCTGCAGAGCAAAGACCCCGAAGTCACAGAGGTGCGCGCGCATTTTGTTGGTTCCTGACTGTCTGAATGGTTTGAAGTTCTGGGATCTGTTTTATGCTTTTTCACATTTGTCTGGGGATTGGTTCTGGTGAAGTGATCAGAGGTCTGCAGTTGTCGCAGAGCAGGGACCCTGGACGCACAGAAGTGCGCGTGCATTCTGTACCATTCCTCCGTTCAACATCTTAGAGTTTCGGACTACTTTTGATGACGTGATTGATGCCGTTGCCACGGGTGCAAAGCAGGGACGATGAAGCCACAGAGCTTGTCTCTCTTCTTGCTTTTGCACTCATATTGCTACTCTTCACTTAATGCGACCTGATGACGCACCTTCGAAAAAACGAGGGTGGTCAGCCAGCCGTAAATTACGCATACTTCGTCTACCCTTTCCCAGTGTCCCACAAAAACGGTACACGCACCCTTATATACCTCCCGACGCACAACACCAGAAATGTCTTGTGCCCTGGTCCTTCAGCGCATATTCCCCCATGTTCTGCTTAATCCGGGCTTATTGATATCGTATTTCTCTTTCACCTGCCAGCTCAACGGAGGTCCGTGGCTTATGTATCGTTTCTGTCCGCTTATTCCCCCAGGTGTTCCATAACTCGGAGCTATACGTCCGCGTCAGCGTGGCCGTGATGGTGCACGAGATGGCGCGCCTCTGCACCGCGTCCGAAACGCAGCCGGACGTTGCGGAACGCTACCGGACGTTCGGACAGGCGCTGCTTATGGACCTTCTTACTCTCTCGGTGAGTATTGCATCCTTGACGTTTTAAGGAGATAAAGGTTTTTCCCTTTTCCCAAAGGTCCGATCCGAGAAAACTGCGGAAAGCTACCGGACGTTCGCACAGGCGGACAGGCGCTGATTAGGTAGCTGCTCGCTTTCTCGGTGAGAAGCAGTTTAAACTTTTGAAGTACTGGACGCTTTCGCTGATTTAGGCGTCCAAAACGCTGCCGGAAGTTGCGAAAGGCTATGGGACATTTGGACCGGTGTTGCTCCACGGAGCTACTCGACTTTCGGTAAGTTTTGCGTCCATGAATTTTGTTCCGTTCTCCACATTGTGAAGCTTTGGCGTTCTCTGTCACCTCTCCATCCCTACTCTGAACGTGCCGTTCTGTAAAGTACATCATGTTCTTCCTGTCATCCACTTCGCGGCACGTTTCAAACCACAGTCATCCAATTCGCGGCACGTTTTAACCACAAATTACTGCGCACCATAACCTGCGCTTACGAGTATAGTTACTCACGAACAAGTACTCACGCGCCCCTGCTTTCGTCTGTCTCAGCTTGACAAGGAGATGCATATCTGAAACTACAATAACCCGAACCGGCACCTACAGCTAACAACTTTTAGCATCTGAAGAACAGCGGCCACTGCTGACGCATCCGGACGTCCGCGCAGACATGCGACGCGGACGTGTACAAAATTCTTACGAAAAGTCCATGCATTCACAAGACATCAAAGGTCCAACAATTGGAAACTTCGACAATATGAAGAAACTTCGGCAATGCTGACGCCTTCCGGACGTCCGTGCAGGCGCGCGATGCGGACGTGTCCAAAAACCTGTACAAGAAGGGCAGCATCGCACATCGGAAAAAAGTGCGCACGTGGCAGATGCTGTGCGTGCTCAGCCCCTTCCTAGAGCGCGCTGACGTGGCAGAACTGCAGCCGTTGCTTGCGGCCGCGATCCAGGTGCAGAACATGTCGTCCGTGCGGCAGTACGTGGAGCAGTTTGCGGTCCAGGTCTACCTGCGCTTCCCGCACCTGGTGAGACATTCGGCATTTCTCTGATAATGCAGTCTCGTGCCCGTTTGTGTTATTTGCTTCGTCTCTTTCAAAGGCGATCAAGCAGCACAAAGCAGAAACGATGCGTTTCGTGGCACCATGCGGATCAGTCAAGTGACATCCGCGCTTTCCGCACCTGGTGAGCCAACGTCAACGGTTTGCAACTTTCAGCAAACCACAACTACTGTTGCTTGGTGCCTCTGGTGAGCGATCGAGCTGTATTCCGCAAAAACACGTCGTCCACGCGGGGTTATGCGGAGCAATTGGCGATCCTTATCTATCTTTCCTTCCTCAATGTGATGAGACTTGGACTCGCGCCACCTGAGTTTTTGTGCGCTTTCTGCTTTGTCAAAGGGGCAGCGGTTCTTCTCGAACTTGCTTCTGCTGACGTTTGCGGGGTAAAAGACTTTCTTTCCCTGCAATACTCAGGCGGAGCAAGATTCTCTTCTTTCGCCTTCCTGTCGCGCAGGCCACCTCAACATTCTAAAACTTCTGAGCGCACATCCTCCTCGATGTCAAGTCGCATAAGCTTCCATTGCGCGTATGTCGTCAAGACTCATCCCTTTTACAATTGCAAGTCCGCTCTTCCGTCTTCTAGAAACTGGTCGAAGAAAGTCCTTGTTCAGACTCCCCTCTTTGCCCCCTCTCAATCGCCCATTCACACCCCGCAGGTGAAGGACTCCCTCGTCCCCTGGCTCAACGATGTGAACACCCGCACGCAGACGGCAGCCTCGCTCGTGATGATTGCAGCCCACGTGGTGTTGCATTCGTCTCCAGGATTGGTCCAGCAAGACATGCTTCGGCTCCTCTTTCCTGCGACGCTGCCTTATCTCACCAGCCACCACCACAACCTGCGCACGTTCACACAAGTGAGTGTTTCAGCAACTGACGTGGTGTGAAAAAATCATGAGTGATTGGGCCCCCGGCCCACCACGCTGGCGTACGTCACCAGCCATCACCACTGCTTGCACGTGCATGAGTGAGACTACGCGCGCTTTTCGGAACCGCTTTTCCCCTGCATAAATCCTCTTGTCCTATAGTTTCCTGCAGTAAGGAATCTTCGCTTGCTCTTAGCTCTGGCCTATTGTGAACCGTTTACTCAAGCGAGAGCAGGCGCCTTTCGTGCTGTAAAACGCTCTAAAGAAAACGCTATGTTACTACGCGACTCTGGTCTTCCATATTTCTATTTTGGTGAGCTTCTATTCAACGTCTTGGGTTGGCAAGGGATCAAGATAGTGGCAACTCCGATGTTTCCCAAGGGGCTTTCCTCCTCATATTCAGAAATCTCGGCATTCGAAGTAAACCCTAACTTAAAATCCCACGCGCTCCGCACTCCTACCCACCCTAACCAGGAAACCAACCCTACCCGTCCCCCGGGCTGTGAAGCTAGCAGACAAGCCTCTTAAGAAGCCAAGGGAGTTGCCACACTGTGGACAAGTGAACAGGATGCAAAGTCACATCCAGTCTCCGGCAACCCTGCTAGCAAAGCGTCTCTCCAAGCTCAAACTTCCATTTCCCTTGCAATTTGTCCGCTCTCGGTAGTAGCACGAAGGTTTCATTCCAGAAAAAGGCGTGGAGTCGCACAGGGAACTACCCCCAACCACTTTGTCGTCCTTTCTACGCAGGTATTAGTGCACCGTATCTTGACGCGCTTCGGCCCCTCCCTCCTGGGAACCTCCGAGAACGAGTACCTCACTCGTATCGCGGCTTACCTGGAACACAACATCGACTGTCACCGGTACGTTGTCCGGCCCCCAACCAAATCGTTTCGCAGACGGCTGGTTATCGGGATACCCGTGTTTGTCCTGCTCTAGGTCTCGCCTAACCAGGCCCAAATCTAGTCTTAACCGCCTGCCTTCCCAGGCTTAGTCATACTATCTTTAAAAGGCTCCGGTTCTCGAATTTTCGACAGAAATTCACCTTCGGAAACCTGTTCGGTACAAATCCGCGACACGAGGAAAGCACGTATTTGGCACTCATCACAAAACCGAGCCACTAACCAGGCTTCGTTCACTGAAACTCTCCCCGTGATTGACTTGCAAAACTCATCTGCATTTCGGCCCTTTTCTGAGTTTCGAGCAGCTCAGTTTGGACCCGCTAACCTACATTCCGGCCGTCACCCCATGCAGAGTGCGTGTTTCGGTCGACCGCTTTTGGACACAGTGCCGTAATCCCCCGCGTCAAATCTTTCATGCATTCCGCCTTTGACTAATCTTCGAGGAGCTAATTGGCAGCCAAGTAATGGGAACCGATAAATAGGACCTGATAACCGAATAGGACCGAACACCAATCCTCCGCCGCGATCCTGAGCAGAGTGCGTGTTTCCGTCGACCGGGCATGGGCGCAGTTCGACCCGCAGACTTCCGTCACCCCTCGGGGCATCTTCTGCCCCTCCGCGTCTTTAGACGACGCTCTCTCGGAGCTGCCGTTTGAGTGCGTCCCAGGGGCGCTGTACGATCGCGTCAGCTTCTTTATCAAGGTAAAATACTTTGAAAAGCAGATGGACCTCTTGAAAAAGGAGAGGATTTTGCAGCCAAACGCTGTCAAAGGAAGCTTGCTATCCAGTTTCCCGCAAGTGGATAGCCAGAACCAGAACGAAGGCTTTGGTCAAGGAGTATGCCGACTTCCGTGCACGTGTCATTCTGGGGTTCATAATTAGACTAGGGGATGTTTCTCTTGTTCGGACCTAAGATGTGGGTCAGATGCCAAAGCAGCCGAGCACACATCACACTTGATCCGCACCGCTAGTTGAACCCAAAGCCTCAACTCAATAGATTGTCTGCCCTTTCAGGAGCAACGAGACGCGTTGCGCGCCGAAACCGCCGCCGACATGAGCGCCCTCGATGTCGAATCCGCGGCCAGATCGGACCGACCATCCCGGTCGGGCGACAGTGCTGACGTGGCAGCTGACGTGGCGGCAGATGACGAGGAGGAGCAGGGCGCACGCGCGCCCCGGGACTACCAGCGCAAGATCAAGGGCGACATGGGGGCGCTGCTGCCGCCTGGTCAGTCGCCGCTCAAAAAACAGACAGGTGGTTGAAGGTCGTTGGTTTTCGATACTGGGAAAGCCCTCGTCAAAAGCGACAGGAATCTGTTACTTCCCTCGGAGGGTGCTTTGGGTCGAAGTACCTAGCGGTTTGTGATGCTTACGCCTCTTGAAGCATGGGAATCCTCCAATTCTTTACGGCTTGAAAGGAGAAAAGGCAAATGCTCTGTCCTGACTCACACAAGAAGCCGGCACTTAGCACAAGGGGCCTTCCTTACACATCCATCAGTACAGGTGGCGGCCTCCCTACCCCTCTTTTCGAAAGGCTCGTCTGTACTGCCACTTTCTCGAACAAGGCTTGTTAACCCGCAGTGCATTCAAACCAGTGCTCATCTTCCTAACTAGGTCTCAGCCCTCCTCTCAGATCTTCCATTTCTTTGCAAGAAGCGACCGGGCGAAGAAAATGTTGCTATCATTTGCAGAGGCACGGGTTCTGCTGTGCTTGAACTTGACCCAACTTGAACTTCTCGTTTCCTAATTTACTACTTAACCATGTTCTTAACCCCGTCCTCTTCCACAGAAACCGACCTGGACGAGGACGTCATGCTGGCGTTTGCAGAAGCGCGCACGCGCGCGCTTTTGGACCTGAGAGGCAATCGGCAGGACTTGATTGTTGTGGCCAGCCTGGTTGCGCGCATCCCTAACCTGGCCGGGTTAGCGCGAACCTGCGAGGTGTTCAAGGCGGCCGCGCTGGTGGTGGCGGACAAGAGCGTCGTGGACGATCGACAGTTCCAGCTAATCAGGTGGGTCAACGGTGGGTTAGGTTACGAATAGGTCACGTACTGTAGCCGGCCGAGCTGATGGTTTCGGTAAGAGCAAGAGTAGATGATTGAGTGGAGAGTAATGCATGAGGTGAGCAGGCTAGGTTCGAATGTGGGTAAAGAATCAACAACGGGTTGAAGAGACATCATTGAGCGTCAAGAAGGGCTGGAAAGACAGAATATTTTGCTGTCAAAGGTAGATGAACCAACTGTATCGGGTCCGGTAATGGAGATCAGGTTGAGAAGGGACGGCGCTCTTGGGCTCCTTTCCGGCACGACGCAGCTAAGTCGATGAAAGGATCTGACGCCCTCCAGATTGCGCAGCCTTTTAAGGAATGCATGTAAACTTTTGGGCAAAGTCCGGCCCCGGTCTATTTGATGTCCCAGCACGTTTCCTCAAATCTTAACCTTGGAGCGTCCATAGGGATTAGCAACCGCATCGGCTGAGAACGCGCACCAGTGCTCGATCTCCGGAATGGCGATGTCGAGTTCCACGCAATCTGTTGAGGATGGCGCTGCGACGCGATGTATCACAGGCAATTCGCAGGAGGTCGCGGTTTCCTAACCATCTCAATATTGCGGTCCCCCTGACGATCACTTTTCCTTGTGCAGCGTGAGCGCAGACAAGTGGGTGCCGCTGCTGGAGGTCCCCGAGAGCGGCCTGGCGGCGTATCTGCAGCGCAAGCAGCGCGAGGGCTACTCGCTCGTCGGCCTCGAGCAGACCGCCAATAGCGTGCCGCTGCACACGCATCGCTTCCCCAGGTGAGAGCCGAAGAATTGGCGGCTCACAATCAAGGCTTTCAGCGTTGTAATCACATTGTCCGCCCCTTCTGTTGGTACGAAAGGGCCGGTGTCGAGAAAATACGAATTCTATGCCCTGTAGACCAAATCGAGCTTCGGATTGGCTTTTGATTACGGTCGAGGGGTCGGGCTGTAGGACTTGGGCAAGCAACGAGCGCATATTCATGTAAGTGTCAGGTCAGAACAGAAAGGGGTCCAGCTTCGAAAGCAACTTTGAGGGTTGGCGAACGTACGTTTCGGCGGAAACTTGAAGGCTTCGAAGTGAAGACGTGTGGGCACTCAATGGTTGGAGCCGGCGGCAATTTCAGAAGGGTTGCCTTTCTCTGTCAACCGGGTTGAGCTTACGATAACCTAGCCGCACAAAGGGTGTTGGTTCGGCGTGCCACTTCCTAAACACTTTGAAAGAGGGTCCAGAATTAAGAAGTTGGTAACGAGATACTGAGAGATTCGATTGACAGCTCGGCCGGTTGCTGGATTAGACGTGCTCGAGTTCTGCCGGACAGCTGTCGTGGAGATCTTATTGAGTTGTTCTGTCTTCAGAGAAGGCCGTGCTGAATAATCCGGGAGACTCGGGGGCAGGTAGAAAGGGAAGGTCTTTTGCAGGAACCTTGGCAGATCGATTTGTCTTTCTTTTCCAAAAGACGGTTCTCCCAGTCTCAGAACCCCTCGTTCTTGTCTTGAAGAAGCGGCGACTCTCTGCCGATGAGAAGAGCAGAGCACATCTCTGATCGGTCACGTTCTGCCGTTGATCGGGATAGACTGCATGCAGGCTCTAACCCCCGTTTTTCTTTCCTTCTTCAGAAAAACGGTGCTCGTTTTGGGCCGCGAAAAGGAGGGGATCCCCGCCGATCTGATCCACCACTTGGACGCATGCGTCGAGATTCCGCAGCTAGGCGTCATCCGCTCCCTCAACGTCCACGTCAGCGGTGCCATTGCCACGTGGGAGTACAGCCGAAGCCAATTTCAGAGCTCGTAGTTGAATGACGGCTTTTAATAAAAAGCGCCGAGACAAACCTGCCGCGTTCACGAGAAATGCTTTTGGAACGGTGTCGAGTCCATGATTTCTGTCTTGTTGACTCCCCGATCTCAGTTAGATGAGGAGTTCTTCTTTCGCGAATGATGGCGTCAACTGGATCTGATCGCCGTTGAGGACAGCGTTGACGGGATGCCAGGTGCGATTGAGGTACCAAACATAGTAAGTACTTGAAAGGTTCAACCTGATTCATGTCGTAGTATGCTTTTTCCGCGACCTCTCGATCATGGTGCCACGCTCGTATGGTCGATGACGGTCTGCATGATCGTCTGGATTGGTACGCTGAATAGCACGGTGTCCAGGCTCAATCATACCGCCGTCGCGCGCGGCAAACGTATACATGAGTGGAGAGGGCCGGGCGGCGGGGTCATCGCAGATCTCAAGGCCGACCACGTCACGCAGCGAATGTCAACCTCGTTCATCATGCAGGCTGCATGCAAGCCAGACGTACAAATGACTCTGTCGAACAACACATATCTGTTCAGATGCTGATCGGTTCATGTTACCTGCAGCTACATTTTTGTAGCAATTCATAGGACCTACAAATCCTGAGACGGTGCACTTCTCATTCTTCGATCACACTTCGGCCATGCAGACGCCTCAGTCGCGGCGGCCGCCCGCAGCTTGGCGCGGCCGCCTGCCTGATACTGTATGAGCGCTTTGAAACACCGTCGCTTTCATCTTTCCGGCCCGCATCGGACGGCCGCACTGCAAAGCGGCCCGCGGGGCAGCCTACTAAATTGCATACTAACGTCGTAATCACAGTAAACCCCGTGACTCTAGTTCTAGCTCTGGCAGGCAGAAATGAGAAAGCTCAGGATTATATTATGGAATATGGATGCCACTGGCACTGGAACTTTGGAAGGAAAGTCGTAGCGGCAGCGGCATCAGCTTGCATTGTCCTCTCAGTAGTATGCATGCCTCTCTCCACTGCAGTCAGGGGCTTGGTGCCTTGCTCCCTGCAGCATCTCGTGAGTCCAGGAGGTGAGTAAGTTGCAGAAGTTCATGGAATGCAGCTTTTCTGGTGACCACTGGCATTCAGCCAATCTTATATGAAAGACTCCAGTTTCGTTTTACTTTCTTGATGTCTTTAATGCGAGTTCTACGCGCTGAGCTGAGCTGAGCTGGTGGTTCTCCTTCTACGGAACTCCGCTTTTTCAGACAGTTCTCTGGTTTGTGGGAAATGAGTTACTGAGAGACGGGGAGTGTAATGGCTGGAACACTACCAACAACATGACAATCATCCTGCTCATCTGCTCAAAGTAGCTGATTGGCAAGTACACTGGATCTATTATAGTCAATTGTAGGAGCTGTGCGGCAAAAGCTGGACCAGAGCCCCTCCCCATTTGCAGGGATCTGTAAGTTTAGACGTCCGTCCACAAGCCAGTTCTGGAGGCAGCCATTGCGGACCGGCACACAAGTGAGCATCCTAGACCAGCTCTAAATCGAGAGAGTTTTAGTGGCAGATGTTTCATCTTGAGTGCTTTGCCCAGAGCTCTGTGTGCGAATGCTGCAATTGGAGTATTGCTTCAAGGTATTCGCGCTGGAGAGGGCGGGTTTAATAGCCGTAACGAACAGACATAAGTTGGCGTTCAACAGATACTCAGGTGGAAGCGACTGGAGAAGCAATTGCCTGACCCCGCCAGAAAGTCTTCAGTCTCAGCTCATCGAGATGCTATTGATTAAATGGTGATTCTCCTGGAACGATCCCGGGTGGGGGATTAATGTGGAGTCAGAGTTTTGTATGAATGATCCTGGGTGGAATTTTGATTTGGAGTGTATTTTGACGCACCCTGTCTGTTTTCACCACTTGTGCAGCTCCCCGCTCGGCCGACTCTTGCCCTCTTCGATTCACAAACAGGTAGGACAGACTTCCGGTGGTTTAAAAACGTGATGTCAGAGGCCAGGCCATGTCCAGCTTGCCAGATCAGGCAAGTTTCTGGTGCGGTGAGGCAAAAGGTGTAGAGGCGGCGCTTGCGACATGGCAGTTGTGAAAAAGATCGAGAGATGAGGGGAAGAGGTCTGCTTAAGAGAGAAGAGGGAAGGGATAAGCTATCCTCACTAAAAGGGCAAGAGAGGTAGAGACGGTGTTGCGGCTTTTACCGGATGTTCATAAAGAGGAGATTGGGAGAGGCAGATATTGAGATCAGTCAAAGTTTTGGTCCGACAACTTTGGCCCAACAACTCTTTTGAGATAGGGATCCCCCTGGAGGACGGCCGCCGTTGTCAAATTTCTGAAACACAATCTGGGGTAGAAACAACATTGGTTGGAAAGTTTCATTGCTTTGTGTAGGCACGAATGGTCGGGCAATCATGACTTCAAACACGACGGACGCTCAGCAGACAGATGCGGAGTTGTCGCTGCATCGGCACCAGTTCAAAATCGTCAAAGAGGAGCTCGTCTACTCAAGGTACATAAATGTCTACAACCGAGTTGTTGAGGTGAGCCACGGGAATCCCAACTGCTATTCTGCATATATGGCCCCTCGCGGATTCATGCTTGGGTTGCACGAGTGTCGAAGTCGGCTGCTTACGTGAAGAGAGGCGGATTATTTCAGATATTGGCCCATTGTAGGAAGTGTTTCTACGTCATATACTCAGCAGGTTGAAGATCCTAGTTTACATCTATCAAGAACTCCCGTAAGTTGGGCGTCCCGGAATCCGAACTGCCCAACGTCACAAAATTATATCGGAGCGTAGCTTTCTGATAGCTATTATCAAAAAGTCGTATCAGTGTTTGCGCCCCAATGGTAAAGTGGCCGGGTGATGACGTTGTGAAGACGCCCTCTTCGATCAAGTCAGAACGTGATCTGAAAGAGGTGAGCCGAAGGATCGAGCGGCCCAGGCTTTGTGCTCAGGCGACCAGTAGCAAAGATATACCAACTGTGCAATTGCAACTCCAGGGGCTCGCTACACGAGAACCACTCCGCTATTCGGAAGAAAAACGATAAGAAATAGTAAGAGCTTTTTTTCCGCCCTGTTTGCAGTATCCCCCTGATCCCTCCACCTCCGGCAGCGACCCTGCGGCACAGGGGAAAGTGATTCCGTACGACGTTGTTGGGGCCAAGACGGTGTCCTCGCACTTCTGCGCGGTGCTCCCGTACGACACGCGGCGGAAGCTCTTCACGCTTGTCCGAGAATACTCGCAGGTATGGCTGTGACCCTTCAGAATAGTTGACAGGTTGACGTGATCTTTTTCCTGCATTGCACGTTCGCCGGTGTAGACGGCATTTCGTGTTCGGTAAAATGGTAGCAGGGGGTAAGATCGAATCCGACCAGTAGCTGAGAAATGTGACGATAGTTGCGGCTCGGTTTTGTGCCATCCTGCATAGTCAGGGGCAAGCGGAACGGGAAGTATGCCTTGCTTTGAATCGCTGCCATTCTTGAGTATCCTGGTTACTAGATTTGACGACTTCTTCCTCGAAAGTGTGGTGAATGTCAGGCGCAAAGGCAGGCTCCTCACAAGATCTCCCGTTGATTGCGATTAGAGTCTTCGTGAAAGAGCTCCATTTTGCCTTTCCTTACGAATTCTCATGAAAGTCTGCCAACCTCCGTTCTTACGGGGTCTCACGAAGCGTCAAAGCGTCGGTGTTTTAAACTGTCAAGCACCAGATTACCCCCTCAGGGCGACGGTAGTATGTGTTAAGTTTTATCGCGCTGCCTCGGGCTAAACTGGCGCCAGTGTAGCCCGAGTGGCAGCGCGATCAAACTTAAACAGTATGAGACAACGTGTAGCGCAGATGTGGGGCTTTGTCTTGGGCTCCTTTACCTCGCACCCAAGCTGTTGCACGGCCAGTCTGCAATGCATCATGTGCAAACTCAACAATTTTTGACTTATTATTGTAGTCCCCCCTTTGTCAGACGAATCAAATACTCCGTCGAAGACAATACCTTGGGTGCAACGTTGAGGGGCCCGAACGTGGACGCTGACTTTGTTGAAGACTTCAATCCTCCTCTCCATGAACGATCCCGTTTTTTTCCACAAGCGGTGCGACCATGATCCACAACGCCGCTGCGCTGTCCACTCATATAGTTCCGTCCTTCTGCTCTTGTTTTTCCGTCCTTCTCCATTGATGGTTTTGTCCTCGTGCCAGGGTGCGAATCATTTGGTGTACGGCGTGCCAGCTGGCGGCCTGACAGAAGCCCACGGGTCCAAGGAGGAGTGCGCGCGAGCAGAGCTCTCAGAAGAAGTTCACTTGCAAGGGGGCAACCTAGTGCGGCTGCTCGACCCGGCGCACCCGGGGCTTCTTGAAATCAAGTGGTGCCGCAACCGGTTCACGCCGTTCCTAGTTCTCGATGCACAGGTGGGCTGCCAATTCAAGTTCTGGCTGTGGGAGTTTCGAGTGCTTGAGTGCTTCAAGTCCTTGTGTGCACTGCTTTTGTAGGTTATGAGATTGCTGCGGAGACTCTACCCAAGCGAACTGCTCACTACAACTTTCTGGGCTACGTTTGTTGCCAGCTCCATCCGAGGCCTTCAATAGTCACTGCTTTGAACACAAGTGCCTTTTTCGGACACCAGATGGGAAAGTTGGCGGGTCGGGGACAGAATGGGGAGATAGTTGTCAGTAGGAACATGTTATCATTGAGCCCCCTTAGACCTTTGTTTCGCGAACGATTTTGATTTTGAATTTAAAGGACTTCAAAACATGGTCGCTGAGGTGATTGCCAGCTCCTGGGTCTTGGCATCTGCTATTGTCTTTCGGGCTGTCCAACCTCTTCTTGAATCATTAAGAAATACGTGCATCGACTTTGTGGACCTCGAAGTCCATCTCTGATCAAACCAAGAAGGAAGTTGCTCCATCAAGACATGCTCGCGTCTTGAAGCTGACGACTTCCCCGTTTGCTGCTCTCACAGCCCGACAACAGCCCAGGTCAAAAGGATCACGAAGAGTTCATTGAAGTTGTCACGATGGACCTTGCCCAATTGAAACAAACCATGTACGGCGGCGATATGATGCTGCCCTCCATTGTCACGTGCGGCATGGCGCTTGAATATCTGCAGGCTCGAAGTTTAATCTAGTTTTCAAGCGTGGTCGTTGAGGTAGCCTCAAGGTTGAGCACGTTGGCCTGTGACCCGGACGTTCCAAAGTAGAAGGTGAGATTGAGCACGCGGATGTCCGATCCGCCCTATGCTTCTTGTGCAATCATGTCTTGCAAAAGGCTACAGATTATCCTAGTGGGAGGTATTGCAGAATGGAACGGCAATGCACAATGTCGAGAACACCTTAACCAGATACTGATAGCGAAAGGTGGTCAATCTAGAACAGACAACACAATTGCAAGTGGGGAACCTTGTGACATGAAAGAAAGGAACTTTGTTAACTTTGTCGTTGAAACCGTCCGGTCTTCAATTCAGATGCTTCAGCCCCGCTAGCCCATACTAGGCCAGCTGCATCGCATGCAGCCCCCCTGCCTAGGGACTCATGTCGAGCTGCCTGCTAACCGACCGCCACGCTTACTAGTTTTTGGGGCCGCCGGGCGTCCCATCGTTTCTACCAGTGACATTACAGGGGTACGTACGATGAAGTTGTAGGTTGTAATCAGCATGCATGGTGCATCATATATCATTGGCATCTATTAAATTGGCCGGTAACTTAAGCCTAGGGCTGGATCATTTTGTACATATATATTTAACTCGCAAGAATCCTCAGTGCAACTTCAATGGCCAACGGGCACGGCTAGCCCATGTATACAATTAACATATGGCATATCGTGCGTACATGCATGAGTCATGCACTGCAAGGCAGACGTACCAGGGCGGCATGCCGATGATCGAATGACGGTCAGTACGTGCATGTATAGCTTATGATATTAATTCTTTGATACGGTCACGCGGATCTCAGTCTGCTTGGAAGTGCATGTCACAATCACATTCAATATTATATACTGCCGCCTGCAAATGTTCTACCTAGCTTGAGCCGGTCTATAGTTTACAATGTGTCCGCGGGCAGTCATTCAAGAAACCTTCAATGCGAACAATTGTTCAGGAGGAGTAATACGCCACATCCAGCGCAGACTGGATCCGCAACATCTTCTCCGAAACAAAAATACTATTTCGCGCAACATGGGGCAACAAATAAGCCGTATTTAACCCTGTTGATGAATGATACCAGGAGCCGCAGCAGCTTCTATGGCAATTAAGACCACTTGGTGTCCACTCACCGAGTTTAAAACTCGCTCTTGACCACTTCAGATATCATAGCACTCTGTCACCAACCTAACTTGCCGACTCCAATTCTGTACACAAAACATAAAATACAACGCCGTCCTAAACCATCCTACTTCTCCCCGCCACTCTCATCTGCTTTCTTGCCAAAGAAGTTTGCAACTACTGGGGTCAAGGCAACGGTAGGTGGGAAACGAACGGGCGACAAAGCCTTGTGAGCTGCATATGCTAGGGCAAAGGTCCCAACCTTTTCCCCTTGCTCGTTAGTGTGAATGCCCACCTGCACCAAAAAGCAACAAATCTTGAGTGGATAATGCACAGATTCCTAAACTTCTGGTTTCTCAGCTATGAGGAACTTACTCTCGAACAAGACCTGCAAGCTGAGCAAAACCAGAGTCTAGACTGGAACAAGAGTGTGTGGCTGGGCTTGTTGACTACACAGTTCGATGTTGTAGTCCTGACGTCGTGTGCAAGTCCCGACGAACTTTCCAAAAGGATTAGAGCTCGTGTCAGAGCTCTTGGGACCCATCGCTACTCCAAACAAACATTCGCTTCAGTTTGTATGGTTGAAAGGGACAGTACCTTTCAACCTACCTTTAATCACTGCGTGGTTCTGAGACAATCTCCCGCTGTCAGCTCGAAAGTTCCAAAAAACAAGCTTGACATGTCCGTTACATCGGAAAGTTCTCTGAAATGGCTTCAGGAGGCGAAAAGGACCATTGCTGCAAGAAAAGACAGGAACAGGAAGAGCCGCGATAAATTTGAAAACAGACAATGCTAAACCAGCCTTACCTTCTCCAACAACGCAGGCACGTCAACCCCTGAATTGATCAGCAGATAGCACACTGTTATGGAGATCAGGGACAGTGCCACACTGGTCCCAATGTACGCAACGCCATATTTTGCTAAAAGATCCTTTGCTTGCTGCCCCCGGCTCTTGCCCTTACTTTCGCTGGTCTCCCCATCCTTGCTTTTGAATATCTGCAGAAGGAGTGAATCACTCGTTTTTTGGAGATGAGCACCTCATTGCAAGAACTAGCTAGAAAGCTGGGCACGTTCCCCAACTGCCACAATTTGCAAAGTCCTCCTTTGAAGAAAAATAGCAGACAAAAGCAAGAGATTAGCCAGAAACATTCTGACTGATGCACATGGTGGTAAAAAGTTTTCATCACACAGAGTCTGGGGGTAAAAAATAAAAGCTTTCAAGGGCATTCTGTTGCAAAAGTCTTGACGCAAGTCCCAGGCTCAACATAAGTCAACACTTGCACGTAAGTGGACAATCGCACATAAGTGGACACTCGATGTGGAAGTGTACACTTCGCTGCAAAACCTGTTGCCAGGAGTGGATTGCTGCTCATGAGCAGAAGCAGCCTTGGAACTGACGCTGGGTGGTATGAGCTTTGAGGGGAAAACAACCCTGTACTGACAGATCAAAAACCCCCAACATGGACGCTGAAAAAACAATCAATACAGCAAGTTCGTGTCGTCCTCCTTTTGCCAGCAACGACGAGACAGAAAAGCGCACAAGCTACATCCTCATAAGGAGAAACAACTTTTCCCTTTCCTGAAAAGGAGGGGGGGGCAGAGCTCCCGTTCAACTTGGCATGCAAAGCAAACAAAACCTACGACTTTTTTCATAAGAGCTACCTCCAAGAGGCGAGGGCGACAGTGCAGTTTCCAAAAAAGAGTTACCTGCCAAAGCCCAGCTTCCAAGCCATACTTTTTCGTAACCTCCTCTGGGTCCTGCTGACCAGACGCCCCTGGACCCTCTGCTTTTTCCTTCTGCTCCTTTTCGGTCTTTGGCTCCTGGTCTACAGCCGCCCGAACAGAAACGTCACTTCGTGTTTGCAGTTTGAGATGCTGGCTAGGCCGGGCAAAATTGTACCGCAGGCGATGGCACGACCGTAAGGGAGAGAGAAAAGGACCGAGGTGGCTGCCGCACTGCAAGCTGCTATGTCGCCTTTCGTTGCTACATTGCAAAGCTGTGGGGGTGTGGTGGCCGCAGTAGGATGAGGCCGTCTGTGCCATCTTTTTCAATGCCGCCCAGATCCTCCCTAGCTAGCTAGACTCTAGAACTTGAAGCATTCGCAAGCTCCTGCATGAGCTTCGAAGGTCTATGCCCAGACTCAGACTCCCAGAGTCTGGACCTGCGATCTGCCATTTATTAAAGCCGTCGATCCGAAAAGTCCGACAGCATCCGACGGTTTGAACATGCAAAAGCGAGCTTGTTCGGTGGAACACGTCAGTCTTTGCTGGCGGTCAGATGATGATTCTTCTCTACCTTAGGATACCGTCGATAGAAGTCAGCGTTTGGAAATGAGTAAAAATGATCGCGGCCCTAGTCCTTTCTTATCTGACCTCACCGTGATGATT